TTGAGTTGTTGCGTAGTGCTATATTTATAGGTTTAACGGGTAGCAGTTTTCATATGGGAGTCGGAGTCCCCTTAGGCTTCGAAGTCTTTCTAGGGTTTCATACTACTGCCCCTAAAGGTTCGGAGGTGGCGGCCCATTTGGCCCACTCCATCAAGAGGCGACAGCCGTGGCCGAGCTGACTTCCCTCTATACTGAGTTGAGGTGTCCGAGTTGTACGATCTCTATTGCCGACCTCGCGTGTGACAGAGTCGAGCTGACATGTGTCATATGTGGATTGGCTGGCCGAACTGACAGGTCATCATGTCCGAATTGACACGTGGCTACTGGAAAATTTGCCCCACTACACTAGTCCCCCTTTGAGTCTAGAGTCATCGAAAAAGTCGCATGAGTCTGGACCAAGTTTCTTGGCGAAGAGTCAGTTCGGTGTGAGACCCATGATTTCACGATGACGGCCCTTGTTCGAGTAACTTGTAAGATCGAACTGAGTAGGACCAGCTCATTTTTTGTATGAACTCCGCCTTTGTAAATAGACTCTTATGGATTGAATAGACTTTTGTTCATTTTATACTTAGCAAAATTTTTCGTTCATGTCTTTCTTATCATACTGTCTGAATACACTTGCGCGAACAGACCCCGGGCTAACGCGCGAACTGACTTCCAAATAGTTCATATATTTGCACGAAAAGATAGGACCATGCAGAACCAGACAACTCAGGTCATGTATGGACAGAGTAAGTGAGGTTTAATGAAAGTGCCTCATACTCGGACACGTTATTGGAGGCCCTAAAGTCGAACCTCAAGGCGTAAGTCAATTCTTCCCCCGTAAAGCTGATTAGGAGGGGTCTGACTCCACACCCTTACTTGATACTCTATTAATATACGATGTCTAGGTTGGGATGGCCTGTCCAGCAACCTCCTTGGTTTCTTCGGCCAGTATAGCCTCTCCGACCTGTTTGGCCTCGACAGCTTCTCCGACCTGCTCGGCCTCAGTTGTGTCTCCGGTCAGGTTGACCTCGTCGACTTTTGGGGCCCATATGACCTCGGCAACTTCCCCAACCTGCTCGGCCTCAACTGCGTCTCCTGCCAGCTCGGTTTCGGCGGCTCTTGCGGCCTGTACGACCTCAGCAGTTTCTCCGGCCTGCTCGGCCTCAGCTGCGTTTCGGGTCAGCTCGGTCTCGTTGGCTCTTGCGGCCTGTACGACCTCGGCAGTTTCTCCGGCCTGTTCGTTCTCAGCAGTATCGTCGACCTGCTCGGTCTCAGCTGTGTCTCCGGTCAGCTCGGCCTCGGCGGCTCTTACGGCCTGTACGACCTCGGCAGCTTCTCCGGCCTATTTGGCCTCAGCTGCGTCTCCGGTCAGCTCGGCTTCGGCGGCTCTTGCGGCCTGTATGACCTCGACAGCTTCTCTGGCTTGTTCCGTCTCGGTAGCTTCTCCGATCAGCTCGGCCTCAGCTGCGTCTCAGGTCAGTTCAGCCTCGGCGGATTTTGCGGCCTGTACGACCTCGGCAGCTTGTTCGGTCTCCTCTGCGACTGAAGATCGAACGGAAGAGTTGGCAGGTCATTACTCAGCTGGAGGCCGAACTGAACGGTTAGCAGGTCATTATTCGACTAGATGCCGAGCAGAGGAATTCTACTCTCTTTATTTGGAGGCCGAACAGAAGAAATTATATCATCTCCATTTTGATTTTGAGGCCGAACAAAGAAGTTCTATCATCTCTATTTTGAGGCCGAATAGAGAAGTTCTACCATCTCTGGCCTCGTAGTTTCTCCTGTTCACCCTTCAAGCGATTAGCTTCCACTGCATTAGCCTTCTCGTGAGCTCGGTCCAGCATCTCCCGAACTGACTGGGGAGGTTTCTCCACAAACTCGGTATATAGTTTCTGTTTACATAGTCCGTTGATCAAGGCGGCCATGATGACCTTATCGTCCAGATCGCGGACCTGGAGGGACTCGTTGTTGAATCGGACCATGTACTCACGCAGCGATTCCTCGGGCCTTTGCTGAACTGTCACCAGATGAGCAGTACTCTTGGAAAAGGCTCGTGACGAAATGAATTGAACTGAAAACAGTCGCGCGAGCTGGCTGAAGGACCGAACTGACTTGGGAGGTAGTCCTTGGAACCACTAGCGTGCCTTTCCTTCCAGGAATATTGAAAAGATCTTACATCTGACTGCATCGGCGGCCGTTTGTAGGCGCATTTGTGTCAAGAATGCGAACAGATGATCCTCCGGATCCGTAGTCGCGTTGTACGATTTCATGGTCGATATTTTGAACTTCGCAGGCAGCAGGTAGTTCTCAATGTCAGGGACGAAGGGGGAAGCAATGTACATGTCCGCCTCAGGGTCCAACAACAGGTCCAACTCGTCCTGTACCTGGAGCTGCTCTCTCCGCGGGGAGAGCTCTTCCCTTGAGAACCTCCGGAAGGGCTTCGGGTGCTCAGTTCGGGAGTGCTGTGGGAGGACTCCACGACCTCGATCTGTTCACGCGTGAGCTCCTTACGCATCCGCTTGAGCCGAGGATTAGGACTCCCTGCTCGGGATTCTGACAGCCCAACTCCTTCCACCCCTGGGACCTTAGGTTCCTGGTCACGATGACCTCCTATCTGCCCCTTGAGGTAGTTCATAATAGCCTCGAAGGTAGGTAGGTTTTCTGTCACCGTCTGAACTAGCTGCTCAGGCGGGATTCGTGAGAGCCCCGCCCCCTCGTCTCCAGGAGTCGGACCCCGAGGGGAGTTCTGAGGGCCGTTTCGCTCTTTCCCCTTGGATCCGTCAGCGTTCTTCTGAGACCTAGTCCTTGGCATGATTCGCGAGAGAAGAATTTACGTGTTTCCCACAGACGGCGCCAATTGATGCGGCTGTCAAAAACAAGATCTGAGTTAAGCTGCGACGGGCTGAGAGAGCTGAGAGGGAGCGAGCTGGCGAGCTGGGCTGGTGAGCTGCCAAGGACGCAACTCGAGCTGAGCTGCTACGAACAAAGCTGGCTGAGTGCAGTCGAGCTGAGAGGAAGCAAGCTGGCGAGCTGGGCTGGTGAGCTGCCAAGGACGCAACCCGAGCTGAACTGCTACGAACAGAGCTGGCTGAGTGCAGTCGAGCTGAGAGGGGAAAATCGAACAGATTATCCTGCGGAGAAAGAACAACGGCGGGACTAGAGTCCCCGGAATAGCTCCGACGATCAAGTCAGTAGAGTTTAAGAATAAGGCAATAGTATGGAGGGTACTGTAGATGGCGTACCTTGAGTTGTTGCGTAATGCTATATTTATAAGTTTAACGGGTAGTAGTTTCCATATGGGAGTCGGAGTCCCCTTAGGATTCGGAGTCTTTCTAGGGTTTCATACTACTGCCCCTAAAGGTTCGGAGGCGGCGGCCCATTTGGCCCATTCCATAAAGAGGCGACGACCGTGACCGAGCTGACTTCCCTCTATACCGAGTTGAGGTGTCCGAGCTATACGATCTCTATTGCCGACCTCGCGTGTGACAGAGTCGAGCTGACATGTGTCATACGTGGATTGGCTGGCCGAACTGACAGGTCATCATGTCCGAACTGACACGTGGCTACTGAAAAATTTGCCCTACTACAAAAACCATTGCTTCTTAGCTCCAGATGTTCGCGTGTTGGAGGCAGCCAAGGAGGTCAGAAGGCTCGCTAAAGGTGATTCTCAAGCCAAAACCACTCTTGCTTTGCTCGGAGCAATCCCCTCGCTCGTGGCTTTGCTGGACACCCTTCCGTTGCCTCTGGATGTCTGCTCCCACTCATAATTTGTTTCAACGGTTAGTAAATTGTTGGACAAATTTGCCCTTGTGCTTTGCCACGTGTCATGCTAATTTCAGAAATTAAGAGTCATTACTGATGAAATGACCACGGGTCTACTGATTAAATTGTTTAATGGTCAATTATTGACAAAAAATAATTCGATAGCTCAAACATGATCCTGACAATAGTTTAATGGCCGCTGAGGTTTTTTGCCCTTATAAAAAAATATAATTTTAGGAGATATTAGTAATATTTTTGAAACTTTCGGAATGTCAAGTGATGTTAACAAAAATCTCAGGAGAGGTTTCTAAAATTATCTCCAACCAAAAGGGTAAGAAATATACCTTTTACAAGTTTGAGGGACAAAAATTATACACTTAATAATTGAAGAGTTAAAAATCCACAAACTTAATAATTTGAGAGCCATCCAAAATTTTTGCCCTTGATTTTTGGTTTCTCTATTACATTTTGTGACTTGGACGGTCTAGATTTGGGGATACCAAAAAGAAAAGTTGACTTGGATGAGCCGAAACCAAATACATGCAAATGATATAGGTGTGCCCACTAAATTAAACTTACAAGTGTAGTAAAGAACTAGAGAAAATGTGCTTGTGTAACGGGCACACCACATCATGTTATCTAGTAGTATTTGTTGAACTAGAAAGTTCTTATATTTTCATACAAATCTGAGATTTGAAGGGCATGAATATGGTCTAGGTCTAGCTTGTTGTGATATATTTGAATGTAATAAATAACTGAAAATTTCGTCATTTTGATACTTTAATTCAAATCATAAGAAAATTATGTATAACTTTTGAAATTATAAAGGATTATATGAAAAACGCTAAACCACGGATTAAAGTGTATTTTGCCCGGAAAAAAATCACATTTGAATCTTGGTTCTCAATTCTTTTATGATTGTTCTTCAGGGTTAATGGGTTTTTCTTTTCTGTCCATTCTTCTATTGCTGGATTGGATTTTTTTGGGGGGGGGGGGGGGGGGGGGGAATTAATGTTTGTGAGCGATAAGCTAAATTATTAAAAAGTAACCTTTTGTCTTTTCTTCATTCATCCATCAAAATGAAATAATTAGCCGACTTAGTCATTCTTACTGCTCCATTCAGAGTCGCACGATGATAAATTCATTATGAATATGAATTAAGAACAACCATCTTATTGATCAATTTAACCTTGCGTTGATCATTCATGTCAACAAGAAACTCATTTGTGGTTTCGTGAACTCATTTGTGGCTTCGTGCTGCTACATAGGATAACTTGGTCAACGACATATAGCTCTAAGTGTTTGTTCTCCATGCACCCGTTCTTGTACCAAATTGGCTTAGTTATTGGTGGATTGGCCAATGCTAATCGGCTAATCCGTTTCAACTTTCAACTACAACACTATCCCTTCCGCTACAACTAACTGAATATAACTGATTTTTCAATGGGGGCGGGAACGCTTATCCGTCCAACACCATTAAAATCCAGCCCCCTGTCCCAGCAACGGCCACCCCCCCGCACCCCTACTCCCGGTTATCATTCCTCTAATTCTATTTCTATCCCGCGCTCCTCCACCCCCGTTAAGGCATCGTCTTCTCTAAATTCCCAGGTCTGCGCGTCTATAAATGAATTAGTTAGTATTTTCAAGTTTTTTTTTTTTAAATCTTCAAACAAATTTTGCAACACTTGCGAATGAAATGGGTAGGGAGATTATGGAGGCCCGAAGCCAAAACGGGAATGTGTAGCAGATTGGGTTTCTCAGAACGACGACGTTGTTAGGAGCTTGCCCATTTATGTTGGAGGGCTGTCGCTATTAGCTGTTCTCGTTAATCGCACTATTTCCGGCATTGCTCCGGTTGCTGATGCCAGCAGGTCAGTCCAATTCATACCTTTGCACCCTTTACTGCTAGAAGAGAAATTTTCCAGATTTGATTTGTAATTTTTTCAAGAATTTACTATTTCTCCCCTCTCACAATTCAAAGCCTTGACTTTCTGTAGTTCTCAGTCTAGAGCAGATCTATTGACCCTTGGATTGGCTGTCACAAACATCCTGAATGGTCTAGTATGGCTTTCTATCAGACCAAAATCTGTGTCTGCGGTGAGGCTTTTCAATTTTAATATACTTGATATCCTGCTCCTGCACATTATTTTCTTATCTGTAGTTCCACAATATTTTGTCCTTCAACTATTTTAAGTTTCCACAGGTAAACCCTGAAGGTGCGGAGTGCCAAAGTATATGTCCTTTGCTTCCTGATTTCATATCGTCAGAGCTCCTTTGGTAGGACGCTTTCATAGTGCCGGTCCAATTGTTCTTGATAATGTTTCGTCTATGTCTTAATTCACTAGTCATGCCTGGGAAGTTTTGGTGAAACCCTTGAATAGTTTCAGCTGCTATTTTTTCTAGTGATATCGAATTTCATCAGTCTAATAGATGGTTTTGTAATTTGTGAACTGCAATGGTGTTGTCCTGTATCAATATTTTCTCTGTATGTGCGGCATTTACTGGGATCCTTGAATGGACTAGATACGGTGATGACTGGAGATGCCTCTTCTGATGGTTATTAGTAACTGGGGATTACACCATCCATTGAAGATGATTGTTGTGATGATTTAGAGCCCATAAGCATTAGTATTGCAGCTCATCATATTCTGGATAAGCATACAACTACTAGATCGAGCAAATGATTGGGGCTAAAATTGTGGTGTTGAGGACTCAGATGATGAATGAACTAGCAAAAAAAAAAAGATGAAAATGGGTGAACTATTATGACAGAAGACCTTTATATCGGATTTTAGAGTTAATGAGAACCAACTATTCACTTAAAAACGCTTAAGGAAAAGCTTTTGTCCTACTTAAAGGTGGAATGCCAGAATGGACATCAATCAAGCTGTTTGATGATGATTGACAGCATTCTGAAGATAGTAATTTTGCTTATTCTCAGGGTATGGGAGTCTCTATCAGATGCAACATGCTGCAGGTCTCTCATTATTGTGTATGATAAGAGAGTCATCCTCCAAATAGGGTTTGCTACTGCATCGTCTAATACTCACGATGCAGTAGTGGTTGATGTTGATAAATTGATGAAAGGATCGCTTTACCAGGGTGCTTTGAAATCCAAATCACGTAAGAGACCTGCATTCACCTTCATTTGGTTCTGGCATGTTTGGTATAATGTTTATACCTCAGGTGTTTTTTGAAGATGCAAATTATTACCTTGTTTGCAGAGAGCTACTTAGCCAACTTATCTCTTTATCCTGCCAAGTCTGAGTTGCCATTTCTACCTCCCAATACACAGGTAGTTATGATTTTTTTCTGTCTGCATAATCATGATTGAGATATATTTTCTTCGTTGAGAAGTTTGATGAGATTGAGAGATACAAAAAACAGTATAACAACTTATCTTGGAAAATGATTTTCCTTTGTTCTTATGATCCTTTGTTTTCATGGTTACATGTTATATGAAACAACTTTAAAAAGGTGAGCACATTCTAGGACTTTTTTAATTTTGTCAAAAATCCAGGAGGTTATTAACTTGTTCGATTGTTGATTCAAGATTGTTAAAAGGGAATTGATCATTTCATTTTCCATTATACTCCAAGATACTGATGACTGGATTATATATGAGCATGAGCAAACAAAGAAGGGAAAAAGAAAATTTTTTGCAATTCCTGCAATCCCTGAAATTTTGTTATCCTGTCAATTGTTTTCCCCATGGCCATATAGTGTTTTTTCTGATCCCCATATTGAATCTCTAGGCAGTCATCTTGCAACCCCTTGGTGATAAAGGACTCGCCATAATTGGTGGTGACATGATCCGGGGATTCACTACTTCTGACCAGGTGAGAAGCTAAGAATTGTTTTTAAGTTTCAATTATGCTTTCTTCTCTGCTTGTAGAGTTTTTACTTTTAAGTGGTATTACTGATTAACATCTATAAACACAGAATTACATCCTTTATTTGTATATTTGAACACTTGGCTGTTTCTTTCTTTGGATTAAGTTTGTTGTTAGACTGTAATGCTCCCTGAATTCATGATCTAGGTTGCCTTTTTGCCATTATTAAGGTATATGTCTTCTCTCTTTGACGCACAGGCATGGATCACCCTGGTTGGAGAAAAGTTAGATGCTACACTTGCAAAAATGAACAATATTCCGGTGAATGCATAAGATGCATGCTCAGCTGATCAGTCCCATCAAGTTATTGAGCCGCTTCTTTCAAGTCTTAAGTTGATACACTTGTTTAATGTACCACAGTTCCTCTATCAGCAATTGCATTTTGAACTTGGAGAGAATGTCAGTTCAAGTTCCAATCTTCTGGCAGAATCTCCTCAGAAGGGAACAGTAATGTTTTGGAAGTTACTCCCTTCATTTGTGTAATAAAGAATCTTCCCAAAAATCTCAACGTTTCTGAGCTATTGTAAGAATCGTTAGCAACCGTAGGTTTAAGCTTTTAACCCTGATCCATATACCAAATTGGGATTATTGACACTACATTACCATTCCTTAGGGCGATCGCTAGTATCCTTTATGCTGCTTTCTGCTAGATCAATCGCAACTATCATTAGGCATTCACAACTTATATGCTGCTTTCTGCTGGAGGAGGACTGAGAAAATGGTACTTTTTATGGACAAAACCGTCCTTGTCTTTTGGAACAACAGAACTCTTCCCCAGACATTTGATACTTAAGAACCAACTTGTGCAGAGCAGAAGATGCACGTAGAAATGATCCCACGAAAAGCATGGTCTGCTCATCTAGTACCTTGAATGCTGATTCCAGTCAGCGAAGGTTCGTAAATTGAGCTGCAAATTCTTGACGAGGAAACTTGTAGCATGTTACAGCACACAGCAAGAAATCAGATCTCAGTGCCAACGTATGTAGCTGTGCGATAGGAATGGGGAGCCCTCTGAATTCAGTAGCTACCAAGTGCAGAGTAAATCACCACCTCTACGAGAAAGGGAAGAAAGTTGGGGAACATCCTGGAAGAGCATGTTCGGAAGATGAGGTGGTTCTGGATTTTGCAAACAAAAAGAGGGGACCTCAATGAGCAGTGACAGTCCCATCAAACTTAAAAAGAGGCAACGACCTCAAGATGCTGCAACCCCTTGCACTCGCTGATCTCCAAGTGCTTCAACCTAAGAGCATGGCCAACTTTGGCAGCAACAACCTTCACATCACTTAGAGATGGTGCATGAACAATTGATAGCTCCTCCAGTTGGGGACAATTATGCAAGAAGCAAGGCACGTGCTCATCGGCTAGACCGACAGAGCGCAGGCGGAGGGAAGCCAGCTGCTTTAAGTCCCTGCCTAATTTCATTAACTCAGTTATTGGAGTTGGCGAGGTGTAACACCTTTCAGCCTCCGAAAGATGGCGGGTCTGACGTCGTGGATGAATTACAAACTCATCTGAAAAGTTGAACTCAAGCCTGCTAACCCCCTTGGCTGCTGCAAACTGGATCCATCGGTCGATGTTAGTCAGTTCATCCTTGTCCCTCCTTGATGCGAAGCAATTCACGTACTTGCTTCGTTCCTCTTCATAATTTACCATACCATACCATAAAACAGCCGCTGTAAAATTTCCATAAACTCACTCACCTATGGGAAACAACACTACTTCTGGCTGCCTCTTTAACTGACAGCGTAACAAAGATTTCTAACAGGATTTCATCCAGCAATTCATTAATAAGATCTGAGGCATCCATGATGATCCTCTGTCTTTCGTTTGATTTCAACATCAGGGTACTTATCGCTGCAGGCTTTCATCATCATGAAATTATTTTGATTCTTCTCATTTCTTAGAAATTGATTCGATGTTAAACTTTCAAATACTACTTTGTACGAGGGATAACTATATATTTTAAGAAGAAAAAAAAAAAAGAAGGGTATTATATACCGTAAATACATGTAGACTAAGTTCGATTCCATTTAGGAATCTGACCTGCTGCAAAGAGTTAGAGCTTACTAAAAACCGATAAACTATCAATGATATCGCGCACGTCGAAATTGGAAACTAACAATCCAACCACGGTTCGAAATCAAAATGCAGCAGTTCTTTTCTTTTAATTGGATGGAAAAACTAAAAACTACAGAGACCTTGCTGACTGCCACAGTTTGTGGAGAAGTATTTAAAAACAAAAAAACAAAAAAGAAACTAAATCGAAACTCGGAAAGTTATAGAACTTTTGATGGCTGCTTATTCTTGTATTTTGGTTCGCTGAATTGATACCCTCAATAACAACAACTGCTGAAAACTAAGATTGTTCTCGCTCAACCATTCACGTTGCTAAATCTATTGCAGCTCCATTTGAAACTTATCCAGCAGAAGGTTGCAAGCTAGACTGATATGATTCTGAATTTGCTTGGATCATAAGGAAGGTTTCATTATTTTTGCGTTTCCTGTCACATTAGTCACAATAGAAGCTCAACATATGAACTGTGAGAACAAAGGAATCAAATAATATATCAATCACTGAGAAAATAGAAGGGTTACGTTGCACAAAACTGCTACAATGTTGAATGTATAATTTCCAAGAAAATCTCCTAATCTAACTGGTGCCTTTTAATTGAGTGTCTACAAAGAAAAACTACAACATGCCATAAAACAATGTAGGGAAAGAATTGGGTGTGTATAATTAATTCTCTGTTCTACAAGCGTGGAACCATTACCAACTTCATTGGTCTAAAGCAACTTCATTGGTCTAAAGAAGATGTTTCCCAGGGCAACAGACCATTTGAGGTATCAACCAAGTTGGCCAAAACAAAATCTCGTAGGCCAGTGTCCCAAACCTCACAAAACTGTTGTGGCCAATTGGGAGGTTCGATGGCCTCGGTTCCCAAGCCAGGAGCTCTATCCCTAGACCCTTCATTGTGGTTTTCTTGCCAATCAGCAACATAGGTTGCAACTCTTCTGTAAAATTTTGCTTTGAAAACATCCCACACCTGGTATTTGTAATGATTTATCACAGCTGTGCTCTGAGGCAAATTTAGGTACTTGAATCCATTTCTTAAGTGGAAGTGATGCACCACATTCAGAAGGGTAGCGTCAAGGGCCATGGGGCGAATAATTGATTTGTGTCGCTCAGGACTCTGAAGTCGGCAAGTGTATCCTGCCATAACTCCCTGAGGAGGCTGTTTACTCAATCCTGATGGCCCAAAACTATGGCAAGTAGTTCTTATCTCTGCAATTCTTGGGGATGATGAAACATTTGCCACCAGAGTCCGTAGTGAATTCTGACCAGCATAGCCCACTTCCCTGAATGTCTGATGCCTTGGTGTTGAATAGGGAAAATAGAAAAACTCGTCAACATCCATGAACGAAACCCAATTGCATTCATCCTTTGCTCTAAGAGCACAATGAGAGAAACCAGCTTCCTGAGTCTTAACCCAAGGCCACACATGCCTGGTGACATTGTAGTTCTCTCGCTCGAGCTCCCCAATTACCTGTTTGATGTTATCGTCACTATTGTTATCATAAATGAACCACCTCTCAACTCCCAGCCAAGCATGATACATAATCCATTCACGCAAAGCAGAGCCCTGATTCCACACCATTGTACACACACAGAGCTCATACTTTCCCCGACCACCAACCCCACCCTCGATAGACTTCGGACTAAAAATCTTAGCCACAGAAGGAAAAACCACATGCTCATGAGCTCTGGAACGAACATGGGTTGTCACTCCAATTGTCACGCTAATTCCCTGAGCCTTTTCAGGGGCCCTCTTGATACTCCGCGGCAACAAACACCTCACAACCTCTTGAGCAGCCGTAACAGCTTTTGTCGTGAGCAAAAATTTTCCATCCGCCTCCCAGTTCCCCAACCCAAAATGGCAGCTGAACTGCCTCGGATCCGATTCTCGTTGTTGCCTAAGATTCAAACCTTTTACAAACACCACAGCAGTGTCCCCATCCAAAGTAGCAGTATAGGCCACACGTTCCCACTTATGAACTGACTGATTACTAATCCCCCGTAAGCCATTTTCATCCCCTAAATTCTCAATCCCATTTCTCCAGCGCCTTTGTAAATTTACCACAGCAGAGTAATTGACAGGCGGAAGTGGACATCTGACAATCAATCTAAATTCGTCATTTTCATCAACGGACAGAACATTCAGCTTGGCAACAAGACTCTGCCTTGCCTCCAGACCATCGATGTTCCTACCTTCAGAAACTATGCTTCTCCAGTAAACACAATCCAATTCTTGATTTCTCTTCACTGTCCCATTATTCTTTACCAACAAAAGTATATGATCAGGCAACAAAACCCGATCCTCTATCTTAAATGGCAACGATATGAGCTCATCAAAATGTTGAACGGAATCACTACTAGAAGACAATAAAGATAAGCTAGAAACTACCAAAACTGGCCTAAAAACTGAAGAATGAATCTTTGCCGTGTAGGATAGGAGGTAAAGAAAGGTGAAGAAGGTGAAACAAAGAAGAAGAGATCTTACTGAAAATAAATGAGAAGGTAGAACTAATAGATATGAAGTTTGCGATGCTGCAGATGTTCTAAGTAGCCGTTTTCTCTTCCTCCTTTGGTCTGAAGAATCCATAACTTGTCTGGAAAAAATCCGTTATCTTGAGCTAGGATGCATTCAATTCAAGAAAGAGTTTCTCTGGCTTAAGTTGAAGTTTTGTGTTGGAGTAGATCTAACGTGGGATGGGACGCCGACAGAGGTCCTCTGGCCTTTTGAGGTTCTGATGCTCAGTTCTGCTCAGCTGGTAATCCGGTAATTGTCGCAGAGGACGTGTTTGGATGATTCTCAATTGAATTGAAGATTGCTTTATTCATTCTCCAAGGAACGCTTTTGGTATTTGCTAGTACGATTTTATAATTAATAGTGGCGAAATCATGAAGGAACAAGAAAAGCTGTGTCTGGATTCTGAAAGTCCACATTTGCTGGTTGGATTGAATGAAATACGTGGACCATTCATGAAAGAGCGCGTGGAGTAACCCCCCCCCCCCCCCAATACAACAAAAATCTTTAGACCGTTAGAATCCCACTTTTTTGTTGTATACCTGTCCTTATCTTTCGTGCTTGTCCTAATTTAGTCCCTCATCAATCATCTATAATTCTCATATTTTTCTTTCGTTCTTTGTGTTTTAGAACAATGGGTTTGTTTGGATTTAAGGTAATTTATAAAATTTTTTTGAAGATAATACTGTAATGTTTTGTATACGAAACAACAAAGTATGTTGGAAAGATTAAAAAAATACTTAAAAAATGTGTTGATAATTTTATCATATTTTTTTTAAAAAAAAATTTATCAATCCCATCCCAACTTCTATCCAAGGTCGTAAAGCACAAATCATCAAGTAATAATCTCTAACTCTAGGCTATTCTTATTTTGATGTTCTAAAAGAAGAGAAAGAGTGGAAAGGAATCCTCATTCAAAATTAATTAAGAAATAAATGGATTTTCAGTGATTAAATTTATGTTGAGATTTTCTTTAACTCTTTTGCATTTCGTGCATTCATGTTTTCATTTTAGAAGTTGCAACATTAATCATTACCTAATCATTCTTATAATCAAATTTTGGAAACGTAATGCACAAAATTCACTAATATTGAAATGTGATGGATGAAAATAAGGTTAGACTCGTATATAAAAGACCAAATGTGTTGAGCTTGAAAAATGAGAGATCGAAGTGAAACCAGTGTCAAGCATAAGGATAACGATATAAATATGCTATTGGAATCATGGAGAATTATTCATTCAGCTTGTTTCCCTTTTTTTTTTTTTTTTGGTCAAGTTTTTCAGTTTTGGATTGTAAATTATTTGAAATATTTTTACCGTAACACTTGTTGTGATGCGATGTATATGAAATAAAAAAGTAATTGAGCAAATAAAAAATATATTAAAAATTATAATAATGATGATGTAAGTAAATATATTTGAATAAATAATCTCCTATCCAAACACAATGCAAATGGCTGTGACGTAGTTGCGGCGCACTTGGGATTCTCGGTGACATGTTTTTCTATGCCAATCCAATGCCACCTATAGTATTGCGTCAAGTGTCCCATTATTATTTACACTTTAATTTTTTAATAATTCAACTTGGTTTGGTTTAACACAAGTGTAAATAATAACAGAACACTTGTCACAATATTATAGGTGGCATTGGATTGACATAGAAAACATGTCACCGAGGATCCCAAGTGGTTTCGGCGGACGAGGGTCTTTCGTTTTCTTAAAGCCTACTGAATCCCAGCGTTTGGTTGTCACGCGTCAAGAATGTGCTCGGGCCGGCGTCGCATAGCGCTATTGGAACACCGGAGGCTTCCGCTTCACTTCATTTTTTTTATTTTTATTTTTATTTTTTTTGTGGGGAATAGCCCATCTTTGTTTTTGGAATTCCTCTCTAGTTTCACTTTCAGCTTTTGTCTAGTCTATTATTTAGAAAATTCCTACTCCTCCTCCATCATTTTAGGGATTCCACATTTATATCTATCATGATTTTTAGTGAATTCCATTATTTAATCAATTCCTTTCTACTTCTAAATTCAACTCAATTATCTGCGTGTGTTGCCATCATAATTTTACGCAATTACACTTTTCTCCCCTTCCAAGTATTTTGTGTGTGTGTGTGTGTGTGTGTGTGTGTGTGTGTGTTGTGGGGGGGGGGGGGGTTTGGTTGTTTTAGGAGTTTTCTTTCTTATGATGCTCATTTATCATTACCTAAAGAACGCTAACA